ATGATGATGATGATGATGATGATGATGATGATGATGATGATGATGATGATGATGATGATGACTTGATGACTTGATCACTTGATCAGACTTTGTTGGGAACAGATGGGATCACGATGACCCGCGACGACATTGTACCTGGCACCGACTCCTTGCGTTCAGTGGGGGGTCCAGGTACACTTCTGTAGTCGCTCACATGGAAGTGGTAAATGGTTTGTTGGAAGACCATGTTCCTTTACAAACGAGTATGGTTTGTCTACTTCCACGTGATATCCTGAAGATGGTCTTGGAGGTGAAAGTATTTCCTGGAGGTGATGGTGCTGACCCTTTGGGGCTGATGGCTGGTTGTACCTTCTGCCGGATTGCGAAAAACAATGCGAACCAAGATGTACACAAAACACATATAGACAGAAACAGACAATGGATGAACATAAGGAATTTGCAACATATATATTATATATATATATATATATCCGTTATGCATGGATCGGTCCACAGTATCTTGATGGCTAAAGCTGAACCCCCCGCCGTTGACTCACTATTCTCCACGGCATGTCGATTTCTGGCAGGAGACGGTGAATTCCGAACACAGCATGGTGCCTTTGGCTCATAGTCCACAATGGGACATATGGTGCAGGTGATCATAGAACATAGTAGGAAGATGTAGGAAGTAGAAACAATCCACACCGGCGATTCACAGCGCTGAAGATTTATTGGGATGCAAGCAGTCTTCATTTGAGTTTCCCTTTATGTTCTTTTTTGGGGTATTGATGACTCAAAACGGTAACCCTGCAAGACAGATTAGTGGAACATTTTACAAATTTTTGGGAGATTCAACTCGTCCAAGTGTGCGTCCCTGGGTGTTTTGTTTTGCTGTTGTTCGATTTGAAGGCAGCCAGTTCTGTAGAACTGTTTTAAGACCGCATCCACTGTACTCCAACACAAAAGATGTTCATTCATTAAAGATTGAAGTATGATTATGTATGCAACTGTACACGACCGTTGTGTTGCTTGAGGAATTGTTTTTGACACACATTCAGGTATATAAGAGACCCTTTGACATGCGTTGAGTTGGTCAATTGAAGACAGACGCAGCAGAACAACAACTGAGGCATGCACATTGATTCATTCTTGATTCATGCCATGACCTGTGAGAAGTGAGCCCCCAAACCCATGATATACCTCCGGTGCCCTGGAAAACATGTTGTTCTAAGGGCTTCTGATAGCCGAGGGCTCAGATAGTTTTTGGGGCTTTCCTGTTGTGCTGGGGACTGGAGATCACCCGAAACCCACAGCCCACGAGGTGCAGTTTCATGCTTTGGCCCTGCTCTACGAGCTGAAGAAAGGCACAAAGAGCTGCGGATGCCAGATCGCTCTTGATGGTGGAAGTAAATCAACCTCAAAGCCCCAAGGCCCTTTTCTTTTAGACATCCCTCCTTCAACAGGAGAAGTCTTCTTGCAACAGTAGAGCCCGAGGGGTGGAAGTGTGGATGCCAAGATAGGTATGAAACCCGATTGACAGTTCCATGTATTTCCAGCCGCGTGACCAAGTTGAGGACAAGCAAGCTTGGTGTTTGTGTTGGTTGGTTCAAGTGCTTTAAGACAGGCAAGGTGTGCCCAGACTCTTTGGGCGACGCAGAACTTTGCTTTCAGCGGCGCAGAACACATGGCTCGTGTGGGAAGCAAGCTTGCCAAGGGCGCCCGGAAATTCTTGTGGCCTTCCCCGACCTCCGAGCAGCGGTTGATTGAGTACGCAAAGCACAAGATGCAGTACAACTTTGGCACTCGCGATGCAGAGGTGCTGACCAAGATGCAGATGGTGGGCATGAACGAGTTCAGAGGTGTGACACAGATGTGTGTGCCGACACACATGGTGAGGGAGAAAGTCCAGGAAGCACTCGTCACGAAAGGGGTACCACCAACAGTGGCTCGTTCCATCGCAATTCAGCTTCAGGATGCCCACATGCTCAATGGACAGTTTGAGAAGTTTCAAGTGGAACCTTCAGGCAGTGCGCACTTCTACAGAGTAATTGCGCGGATGCAAAGTGATGAAGGAGTTAGTGACATTGCATTGGCTGCAGCCGGGGCGTCCTTGCGGCCAAAGAGGTCACCCACTATGAAGAACAGCAGATTCCAGAAGATGGGACGGTGGAGGAGTGGACGATGAGAAGGTCTGGGTGGCTTGGGGACTACGAGCCGCAACTCAATCGCAAGAGGCAGCAGATTGGCACGAAGATCAACAAGATCCCAATCTTCTGACAGAACGCTTTCAAGCCTTCCGACATGGAGCTCATCAAGAACTGGTTGGAGAATAAGGCCCTGAAGGAGGTTTTGAACTTGGCACCTGGGCAGTACCCCACCCAGCTCGAATGAGACCATGAAACCATGGCCGCAGAGCTTGAGTATAAAGATTTTCAAGGAGGTTCCCTTGGCTCCCTTCACTTCTCTCAGGTCTAGTAGGCTAGATGAGAGAAGCTACCGCTTGAGCCACGCAGACCAACTTTGAATGCTTGGGACCGGAAGCGCAAAACATCGGTTGCCCTGACGTGTGTTTTGCTGTCTTTGCCCAGTCCACTCGATGTTGGGACGCCGACCGTCGGCGTCTTCTGTGACGTTCCGTGGGACCCGTCGACGGAGCCCGTCAGGCGACCGCCTGGCGCTGCACAAGGTGGTGACATCCATGGCCAGGAGCATCGATGGAGTGGGTTTGGTGGTCAAAGAACAGGCAAAAGTGGAACGCATATTTATAAATACTGTAAATGATGTTGAGTTGCCAAGGCCTCTTTGTTCTTGAGACCATAATAGTTTAGTCACCAAGAGGCAGTCTACGAAGATGACCTGGAGTCGAAATGTATCATCCTCAAAAAGGATCTCATGTTGATCACACCCCGGCCACAAGGCTCTTGCAAGAACGAAGTGCCGTGTGAAGCGTCACTACAGCCGATCCCTTCCAATCATTTTGTCTTACAGAACCTGAGTGACCCCTGTTTTGGAGGATCAACTACGTATGCTTATAACTTACAACATCTTATAACATGTATAACCTTTTCGCAAAAAGTGGGTCCAATGTGTTCTAGGGATATACTGATACAGACTGTTACTCTGAATGCCCTTTAAGCCTTTAAAGTTGGCTGTAGAATATAGACTTGATCCATCACAGTCGCCCACATGGTGAGCCCACTCTGCAGGAACAGCCTAAAGAGCCCGATGGCTGAGTGCCTTCTCATCAGCGGCTCGTTGTGGATGTAGTGTGGAGCAACGCAGGTGTGGCAATTTGCTTGAGTTTTTGCACCAAGGTTTGGATCTTTTGAGAGAACAAAGCAATCTTGATCCAAGCCTCTTGTGTTCGTATTATACAGTAGATCATTTTTGTTGATCGGATCCACAACTGGTTTGGAAGGAAGAATGCCCCAAGAATCCTCCAAAGACAAGCTCTTCATTCCTTAGGTGTTCTGAGGTGTGGTACCCGATGTGAACACCTTTATATTATTGTTTTTGTTGGAATTCAATTGTGCGGGTGGACGACGAAGAGACGTTCCTTTAGCTTGAGATGCCTATAGTTGAGCTAAGGGGGGCATCAGTGTTGAAGTCCTATACTTGAGAAAGGCCTTTACTAGCCATCATCCGCTGTTGCAAGGAATGGGATATCCAAAGAAATGACCCATGTTCCATCGAAGGGTTGGCTGTTGGAACGGCACTGAATCACCACGGAAGCCGCCACAAGGCAATCATCCACAAACGACCCGCTGCACCACTACCGTTGATGAAACAAATATGGAAAACCACATGCACCACTGCACCACTGTTCCTCCACAACTTGCAATGTTTTGGGATGGTGACTTGCAGTGTTCATTGCTCTCAAGTCACTTGACTTTGGGACTCGCAATGTTTCAAGAACATGTTCCAGTGAGCTGACCTTGGGGGGTTGTTCATTTTCAGCGTTTCGCCGTTTCAGAGTTTCACGACCGGCCCGGCGCGGCCGAGGATATGCCACGCAGACCTTGATGTCGGAACGGGATGCCCAAGTGGAGAAGACCTTGATGTCCTACCTGGCCTCCTGGCTTTGGGAGTGATTACTGAGAGCGGAGTGAGGGTTCAGAGTGGAGGTTTGAGCTTCTGGAAAGGTAAGGGTTCACCAGGAGTTGACCACGTTTTCCCACCTTTCTCCGCACGAGAAGTGCAGCACACCTCGTTGGTTGTAGCCAGTGCGAACCGGCCTTCTTTCGTCTGGTCGCCTGCTGAATGGACTCGAAGGATGGTGGCTGGATGTGGGTTGCTATCCAGCATAAGTCCTGCAGAGCAAGACGGTGCCCGAAATGTTGCTGCCCCCCTGGTAGAAGTTGCACGTGGATGCGGTAATAACCATCCGCAACGCCAGCCTGCGCCACATACGCACCCAAACTAGGGCTCCAAACATATCAGAAGGTGGTTAGACCCCCAAAACCCACCCCAACCACCGAACCTCAGGAGGTGGGGGAGGTGGGCCAGGAAGTATCATAAGAGGCCAGGCGATGCTCCAAACAGTTGGACGGGGGGGGGGAGCCGCCTCAGAACCTGGAGCGTGGCATGTCACCTGCGTCCCACCTCTGCGCGAGCCGCGGACGCGTTTGAGGATAGTTGCCTGCGGCATAAGAGCGAAATGGTGACCTATGAGGCGCAACCGGGAGCGTGTTGGGGAGGTCGGCGGGACAAAACACAGCGGAACAGATGGGCTGATAGGCCGGATCTGATGAGAAAAGCTGTAAAGATACCTGAGATACCTAGGTAGTTTCGAGTAGTTCATTGTGGATTGGGCCTTTTTCATTGGGAGCTGAGAAATGGCATTGATGAGATGTTAAGACGTTGCAGCTGGTCTCAGGGCTTGGGTCCGAGCGCGCAACCCTTCGCCAGGCGGCGCGCGCCTTCTGCCAGTTGGCGGCGGTGGACACGGACGGTGCCAGCGGGCACACCGTCTTAGGCGTCGGCGGAGCGTTGGTGGCGTTGGGGTCAACGAGAAGGTGGTTGTCTTCGTTGTTTCGGCGAATGGGAGCCACTGCTTCCCGCTTCTAGATAACTGCCATATATGCCGATCAATTGGGGTGGTTGGTGCCAGGGGGGTCGGTCAATGGGGCGGCAGTCCGGACTGGCAGTCCCAGACAGGTCGTGTATGGGATTAGAAATCCTCAGAGTCTATGGCAGCGTTCGATCTGGGGCTCCTCACCATACGGGTTTGACGCTGTGTCCTTTGACCAAGGCTGATGTGAGTCTTTCAGGCCTCAGAGATGTTGGAACGGAAGATGTAAAGACCCCTATTGAAGATGGCTCTGTGAACATATTGATTGTTTAATGGCTGGGGCCGAGTTTTATGTCCAAACAAGAACTGCTGGCTTCATGTGAAGACCTGTGAAGACCCCAGTTATGTTTTTTGTTAAAACATCCTGACCTTCGCAGTGCAAAGCATCACCGAAATCTCTTCAACAGGTGACTTAGCACCGTGAATCTTGAGCCGAACCTCCCCCAAAGTCAGGAGGTTCTTTTTCACCGAACTCGCAGCGACCTCCGACCTCCGACCGGGCAGGCTACGACATGACGCATGCGACCACCATCCTGCAGATCTTCTTAACCTCCCCCAAGCCCGTGGTGCGCTTCGGCGCGATCCGCACGCTGAACATGCTCCCCGGCGGCGAGGTGCTTGGGTGTTTTGAGAGGCTTTAGGAACTGATTTGGGCCCCGAAACTGAACACAGGGTGCTTCAAAACAAGGTCCTACTATATGGTAGTGGGTCAAAACCTGGAGCTCCAAACCCTTAAGTAGGTTGACCGCCCTGAGATCCTAGTAGTATATACATGTTCACTGGTCCACCAGGGTCCCCCTGTGCCATTGACTCCACTGCCATATATCGCTCGAGCCGTACCGACCGGACTGGTCCCGTTTCACGGTGTCACCGTGATGTTTGCCAAGGCTGGCACAGACCCGGCCGCAGACAGCTTCCAGGCAGGTCCGCACAAAAAGGGATCCGCCAGAAAGAGTGGACTGAACCTCCAAAGTAAGCCATTCAGATCTCTATACAAAGGATTTGAGATCCTCTTTTTGACTGCACCGAAGTGTGGGGAACCCCGCGGCTGGCCTTCAGAAGCTCGGGCGAGGAAAGCTGTTGCTTGGGAGATGTGATCAGCTTGTTTTCAGCTTGTCTTGGAGATCTGATTCTGGGTCATGACACCAGTGTCTACTCAGACCTTCCGGTGGAGATGAAGCGACGGGGCCTCCGGTTCCGGTCTAGGGCCTACAGGGCTCGAAGGAGTCATCAGCCCGCATTTTGGTGAGGTTTGTTTTGGGGTTCAATCTCTTGAACCTACAGGGGGAACCGGGACCCCCTGGACCACCCTATCTGGATATAATGTATCAAGAGGGTCGGGTCGTCCAAGATCACCGGGACGTCTTAGACGTCACGTCACGCAAGACGAAAGGCGCCACGCGGACGTCACGTCTCCGCGGGTTGGCTTTGGCCTTTCCGGAACGGTCCGGAACGGTCAGCTGGGATGTCAAAAGCGAAGGACCTGGAGCCGAAGAGCTATAGCTATAGCCGATAGCCATACAATACATGGACACGGTCCATGGGGTTCTGAAGCTCACGGCCCGTTTTCGGGAAGAAGACTTGAAATTCAAGCCATATTAAACCAAAAACCGGGTGATGAAAGCAGACGTGAAAACCGTAGGGTCTTAGTTGGATCTGGCACGTGGGTCGTTTTGGCCCAACTCCTGGCTCCAACTCCGACCTCCCATCCCGCCGACCGTTTCCATGAAGGACAAACGGCTCGGCTCGAGCCCAAACACACTGTCGATCTTGAAGATGGGATTTCTGCCGTGATTCACAGTGATTCTGATAGCCTGATAGCATTCCATGTTGTGGCTTGCTTTGCCAAAAAATGATTTGATTGTCCACTACTATAGTAAGGGCCCTATTTGAGACAATCATCCATTGTCATCCACAGTTCTACCACCTCAGCCGGTTCTTCAGCCGCTCCGTTTCTCCGCTCCGCCCGGGGCTCCAGCTCGGCCTTCCGTGGCACCGATCGGTTTGACGGGGCAGGTGCAACTGCGACATGGAACCCTTGCTCTCGGACCAGAACCGCAACACTGCCACCTTGGCACTCACCACGCTGCTGAAGACCGGTCCGGGAGCGCCAGGGAGTGAAGCTGCGAAGCTCGGGGACGAGCAGAGATCGGAGCAGATCGGAGCACCGATCGGTAGCGGGGGGGTAGATTCCAAAGGAACTCCAAAGACTAGTTCCAAAGACATCCAAAGACTATCTATCGTTTCAATGAATTCTTGACTTGGTCCATTTGCTATGGACATGTTTTATCACCTTTTCCTTGTGCTCAACTCCAGGCTCGTGGGTGGAACTCAGGGCCAGGCGTGGATTTCATGCGTTCGTTCACTCCCTCCAGTGACTGAGCCTCACCGAGGTACTTGAGGGACTGGTGGATGTAGAAGATGAACACCGGACATGATTGGAACAGAAAGAATATAGAAAGTGTATGAAGGCAGCTGTGGAGGTCGTAGTCCAGTGTTTGGTTGTGTTTGCCAACAAAACAGCGATTTGTGCTGGCAATGCAACTGAGCCACAAATGCAGACATCATCAGACGATCTTTGCCAACCTTGAAGCCATTCCGACAGATGCACCGGCACGATGTCGGGTTTTGCCACGTGTCATACCAGCACCTTCAAAGGGGTCACCAATGGAAGCCCCTACACTGGGATCTCCATTAAACACCCCTTTGAAGGTCCAGGTATGAGTCATATTTGTTATTGTTTGTGTGTGTTTCCGGTTTGTCATGGTTGTGATCTTGAACTCGTGTCCAATTGGACGCAGGTACCATCCTCCTCCAGGCATTCATTGTTCATGGTTTTTTTCCAGCTGAAGCCCCCTCCTTTGCTTTGTCCCGCACGGATGGAAAGAAATCGGCCCAGGCCATGAGTCGAATGTGGAGAGATTGGTGAAGCAGATCTCTTCCTTCATGTCAGCCACTGGGCTCGCAGAAGTCGTCAACTGAACTGGCTGCTTCTTTGGTTCAGTCCATTTGGCCTCGCCGGAAAGGCCGGGCGCCGGCGCTCCGGAGCAGGGGACGTGCTGCACGGGGGGCAGCTGAGATCAATGTGAGCAACTGGCTGCAACTGGTAAGAGGCTGACCGTGCTGTCCCTGACCCACCAATGCCAATCCATTTGAGCAAAGGGTGTTTGCCTATGTCTTTATGTATACTGTATATATACCTATAGGACCTAGAACCTGATTGACCCCTGTTTTGGAGCCAAAACACGGTCTATTTCATATCAAAACAGATCAAAACAGAGGTCATGTCCGGATTCTGGTTATATATTATATATCCAAACAGGACAGGTCCGCACCCTTCAACAGGTCAGTGAACCTCCCACCTTGAAGTCTCCCAAATCCACTGGTGGGCACACCTGTAGAGTCGGGTGCTGGCACACGAATGTTCGATTGGGGATGGATCAATACTCATGGGTCAACGGACAGTCGATCCATTGGGTTACATGTTTTCTCTGAACAGTTTAAATTTAGAGTCATAGAAGTCAACTGAAAGTCTTCTTCTTTCAGGCCTCGTTTGTTCCCATCGAGAGTCTTGAGATTCACACCGGACCTCGCTTTCCGCCTGATCCTTCCACTGCTGAGGACATCACGGAGGTCTTCAAGGTGGAGGCGTTTTTCCGCTCCCCGTTTTCAAATTCGGAACGTGGACCAAACACCCCGCCAGTTCCGCTCGTGTTGGCTTCCAAGTGGCTGGCAGACACTGTTCGGAAGATGATAGGAGCGCCCATCCACCAGGATCCTCCACGTTTGCACGCCTGCCAAGAGCTGTTTCAGAGCTGTAGAAAACGGAAGTCAAAAGAGTCCTTCCAGAGAAACTGCAGATCAACATGTCTTCCAAGTGGGGTTACATAGAGCAGTTCCATTTACAGGAGGACCAGTGGATGTGAGGAATACTCAACTTGACCAGTTCCATTGGCAGCCGTGATGGTCATTGAAAGCTGCCAAGAGTTCCAACTCTGCAACAATGGATGACACAGTACTTTGATGCTTTAAGAGGCAATGGATGGGACCGAATCTGCTCAAATCTCCTTCCCTGGTTGGAATGACGCGTGTGTGGTATTGGAGTTTTTGACTTTCCTCATTTCACGATCTGTGCATGTCATCTCAAGTATGTATCTCAAGTATGTAGTATATACACTCCAAGTCACTTTCATCCAAATGGACAACCACCTGTAGAGGAAAATGGTCATCCAAGAGACCATTTTCCACTTGCATGATTGTTTCAGGGAGTGTAGAACATGAGATCATCGAGCACATGACAAATTGAGGTGCTTCCCTTTCTTTTTTGGTAAACAACAATGACTCGACAATAACTATGCAGCTTCGGGGTGGGCTTGTGTCACGGGCAAGAAGGTTTGGTCTCACGTGAAAACACCTCCCCCCAACAAACCAAGCCACATACCTCCATAAGTCCAAACAACAAGAACAAGGCCTTTTCAGACGAATCCCAGCAACCTTGAGCCTGTGCACCCCAACGAAACGGCATTGAAAGAGCGGCAGGTGGTGCGAGCGGTGAAGGGCCTTTGCTTGCTCTATCCCGGGAAGTACAAGGCCGCGAAGGGCGCCGGAAGCGGGCAGCATTGATTGGATTGGCGTGATGGTGGATGGATGGACAGAAGTGAACTGGGCCCTGCATTGGATGGACAGGAGTACCCTGTCAAGCCAGTCCTTTTTGGAAGCAGATGAACTGGGGCAACTGCTTGTAGCTTGAAGGTCGATGTGGAGGGCCTGTACTTGCGAAGTTAACCCAAAGGTTTGTTGAACAGCCGAGCGTCCCGGTCCCACTAGGATCCTACGGTTTCCAACATAGCATTCCAAGAACAGTTCAGCACCGTTCTGCTGTCCAAAGTCCTTTCCACTTCCAAACCCATCCCAAACCCTAATAAGCCCGATCCCCTGGCCGTTTCGATGTTTCTACCGCCACGGTCGATCCATCCGCGTGGGGAACCCTGCGCACGTCCGCTTTGGCCAAGCCCCCCCAACACCACCCAAAAGCAAGGAAAGCAGCTCCGCTTGGGCCAAAACCGGAGCACCAGCGATCTCCCGTCCGGTGGCCAGGTACTGATGTCCTTCCTCTCCTCGAACCTCCGGGAAGATGGCACCGCAGAGATCAAGAAGGAGCCGCACGAAGCGTTGAAAGCGCGGAAAGAGCGTTGAGTTAGAAGGCCGCCACGAAAGGTTGCCTGAAAAAAGGGACTCTTCACCGTCAGCTGACCTATGAGATAGGTTTTACAAGGCTATGGTCTATAGGCTGTAGGGTTCTTCAACACTTTGTGTTTGCTTGTTTGTTTTGTTTTGTTTTGCTTCACACGTACTATTACTATAATATAATTACTCTCGCCACAGAGCACAAGAGAGTACTTCTTGTTCAGCCGTGGATCCTATACATGAGTCAACACATGCTTGCAAGGCAGCCGTTTCTTGAGCACCTTTACATCCCAAGAGACGTTAAAGAGGTGGCCCTAAGAATGTTCAAGGCATTTCCGGTAGATGATAACCACATCAAAGTGTTCAACCACTCTGCAAAACTTCTATGCTTGTTCCAGGAGGGGGGGGGTTGAACACTGATTCCAGAAACGTCCTTGTTTCGGGCCCAGGGCGCCTGGTTCTTCCGTTCGTGAACCGGTCCGGTTCGGTCAAGATGGTTGGCACCGGTCCGGACGGTAGGTTTGATCACGGTAGGTAGGGACTGGCAAAAGGTGCACTGAAACCGAAGCTAGGACAGCCCACGAACTGTTTCAGCCATGCCTTTTTCACTGCTGAGAACGTCATGAATCCATGGGATCTGGAAGATTTGTCGCTTTTCTCCCTCGTCCAACATCTGAAAAACCAGCCATGCATGTGTATATTTCATTATATAACTATATATGTTTAATCCCATGATCCCATGGATTGTGTTTAAAGAGTCTAGACTACAGTCCCGGATCAACTAGAAAAAACTTTGGATTTTCTGGATCAAAACTGAAAAACACTTGGATCAAACTGACCAATGTCTTTTTTGATGTCTATTCTTGTTTAATGTCTATTGGATCAAACATCGGATCAACTAAGCTCCTCAGGACCTCGTCGATGCGCTCATCCTCATTATCTCGCAGGTGCGGGACCCGCAGAAAACAGTGTCGAAGCCCAACACAACAGCAGTGTCGGGATGGTAAAGGGTCAGAACTTGAGCATGTTCTTATTTGACTTATTTTTGTTTGTTGTGCAGATGAAGATGTGTTATATCCGAGAATTGGTTTTATGCAGCTGACTTTAAGGGCAGAGGGGGCGTTGTTTGAGCTCATAGATCTATTGCAAGGTGGGTCTAGCTGTTTGGATCCGAGTGGACCCTTGAACAGCCATGGCAAGATTTGAAGAGCACAGCAGCGGCCATAGCCGCTGCTGCCCACCTGTTACTGTAGGACTCATGGGTCGCGAACCGGTCATGCCACCGACAGGGACAAAGGACTCCACTCCAATGCTGAGTGTCACATGGGTTGTGTATGAACTATAAGTTAAGATCAAGGCAAAAAAGCCAAGGAGCTAGTGCTTTTCAACCCTTCTTATTGTGCTTTATATATATATATATGTCTATTTCCGGTTTCGGAGGTCAAGAGTTGGGAGTACCGGTTTGGGTTCCGAGTAGTGTTTTGTTTTTTCCTGCTCTGAGTGGGTGTTCTTGACAGTACTAGTACAGTACCTCAGAGTGCCTCAATTCTCTCATTTGTGGAGGTGCTTTGAGAGTCGAGGATACTCTGATGGTCACATTCTGAGGGAAGCCTGGCTGGGTGCGATCCCAGCACGTCCCCCGAAACCCGCGGCGATCGATCGGCGGATCAGCCACAAGCCACAAGCCACGAGACGCTTCAGTAGAAACATGTACAAACTCACAGCCGTGTTAAAATTGAAGCATGTTTTCAGTACAAACCTTGGACTTCTTCTCTGCAAATCAAAAGACCTCCCCCCCCCCCCCGCTCTTCCTCCGCCACACCAAAGACGGCTGTGGCCGACCCCCCAAAAAACCCGCGCCCCTTTCGCTTCCACCGCCGCAGTCGTCGCGTTTTCGCGTTTTCCTCTCAACCGACACCGCTCCCGAAAGCCACCGGTGTCCCGGCGGACCCCAGGTGCCGGCAGCGCGGGAGGTCGGCTTGTTGCACCTCTGCGAGTTCATCGAGGAGACGGAGGGACGGAGCGAACCCCAGACGGAGCGAACCCAGAGACGGGGGCCGAGTGGATGGAGACGAGCGGGGTCGGAACAACGCCTGGCCAGAATGGCCGAAGAAGGAAGGGCTGGCTGGAAGGAAAGCTCTTGAAAGAGAAGCGAAGTCGGGGGGAGGTGGTCGGGGAGTGTGTTGTGATGTTTTGTTCCATTTATAAATGAGTGGTATGAGTGGGTGAATGTGGGTGAGCCGAAATTGGAGAACAACATGGGGCTGTTGATTCTTCACTGTTTCACAAGACAGCTGCAGTGTATGTGTAGATTCTTGGAATGAAGGACTAGTTGTTTGCATGTTGTTTGTTGCGGATTTTGCAGATGGTCCATGTTTGTAAGATATTACAGTATTATTTCTCTACTCCAGGTCCAGTTGTTTTCTCCTACTCCAGCATGCTCCAGGGTGATTGCAACTGTTGGCAAGTGGGTCGTCATGAGCTGAGAAGTTCGAGTGTGGAACTTGCAGAGGAGGGCTTGATGTTTGAAGGTGGACTGGGGAAAGAGGCAGGTCGTATATAGAGAAGGATTGGTCTATCATTTGGACACAACCCATCAGAAGATTCTCAAAACTCAAAATCTGTCTCCTCAAGCTACGATCTCCATGCTGTCCTTGCCGTTTTCCATGATTTGTTTCCACGTGCAGGTGTTCCAGTCGAATCAGCATCGCAAGTGCTGTGTTCCTTGGAATACTAACAGGGTGGATGGACTCCAGCCGAAAAACAAGTGCCAGCTAAAACATGCTAAATTGAAGAAGAACAACTTAGACACTTGAGGTCTCGAGATGTCTTGAGGGAAAAACGGCGGCCTTCATCATCCTCGGCATGTTCCACGGCCAGGACTGTGAATATCCCAACCTTTGCACTCGCATCTTGGGTTTTCTGGGTGAAGAGGTGGGCGGCCCACGCGGTTGGCCTCGGCGGGCCGGGGTGGCGGAAAGCTGGGAGATGGTAGAGGAACCGAGACCGATGTTCTTTTTCTTTTTTTGGGGTTGGTGGTGGGAGAATCGACTGGACTGATGGAGATTCAATCCTTGATATTCCGAACCCCCAAATTCCATGGGTACCCATATGACTTTTGATTAATAAACAGGCCCAATTTAAGTTTGAACAACCTCTCTACATGGGGGGGTTTAATAATCAAGAGCCAATGGATACGGAAAGGAACCTTGAAGGAATGTTCCTCAGAGGTCCGGCGAATCTCCACCTTTATTCCCAGACACTCCATGGGACTGTCATATGTGCCGCCCCAGAAAGACCCCTGAAATCAACCACCCCAATATATGTATGTCAATATGAAAGTCCCATTAGTCATGTCTGGGATTGTAGAACACCCGACTCTTCCGTCCAGTTTGATGACTTTTTGACCGACTGAAGTAAAGGAAATTCCGACTTGGGTCACCGTTCGTCAGACCATTCTTTTATGGTCTAGGTGATGGTTTCGATATTTTTATTTTCAACCCTTACTTGGGGATGAAGAAGGACCCTCTGACTAATATTTTTCAAGTTGGTTGAAAACACCAAGCAGTAGTCTTTGACTCCCAGGGGATCAAAGAATGATTCGGAAGCGGTTTCGTCGGCCTTTTCGTTCCTTTGAGCGTCTTGTGTCTTGGTCCGAAGAATGAAAGCTTCTTTATGTTGAGCAAAAGTAGCCAGAAAGCGTGTCAGAAGGTCCAATATAGGCTGCTGCCTGATGAATTCTGGATTGGTTGTCTTATGCAAGGCATGTTCAATGCCTGACATTGTCATGAACGAAAGAGACCACTAGTTCGCAACTGCCTTAGCCATTGCAGGTGCCAAGCACTTCGCATCCCGCCAAGTACATCCGCTTCATATACAACCGCTCCTGGGCGGAAAAGAGAGGCTTTTGATTGCAGAACAAGGTGAGTTAGTTTTTCACCAAAAAGAGACCTGGACCCTTTTTAGGTGATTTTCCAGAGCTTAGCACACAAGTATACTGTCAGTTGTTCGAACGATGCAGCAAGAGGCCACAGAGACCACAGGGCAATGGGTTGCTTTTGGAACGGCAGGAAAGACAGGGGACGGGGACGGATGGATTGTCATAGCCCCCATGGATTTCGGGGACTTCGATCAACATCTTAAGACTTGTCGTCGATTTCTTCTCTCCTCCAGTTCACACGTGTGTAGCCGTGTAGCTGGAAAAAGGGAACCTCTTTTTGGGCCCTCATTCATGTCGTGGTAACGATGACGAGTAGTTTGCTTGTTTGGTTGAGTTGCAGAGTGGTGTTCCAGTGGACGAATCTTACTTCTGTCAAAAAGGCATCATTGTCCAGTCTACAGCCCCAGACAGACTTGTTGATTCTGGACACGGAGTGGCCTTCACGAGCTCGGTGCCCTTGTCTTGGTGCCCCAGGGCTGATTTTGGAGAATGCCTTGGTGAGGGCTGCGGCGGTGGACGCCTTGTCGAAGATCGCCATGCGCCTCGAAGTGGCGGAGGGGGACGGAGCAAAAGCGGATGCTGCCGCTACGGTGGGCGTGAAAACAGCTCAGAGAGATGTCAACATCTCTTTTGAAGTATGCTTGAATAAAACATCACTTGTGTTTCAATACCCGTTTCCAAGAGTCGTCTGAAACACAAAATGACTGGCAGAGGGGAGGGAAGAGGGAAGAGTCATGAGTGACTCATGAGTGACCTGGGACCCATCCCAAGTCCTAATCTGTCTTGGGTTGCAGTAATATGGACTCTGACTCTTGATTCATAAACCTTCCCCTTTGATCTCATAGGATTTGCAATCCAGGGTGTATTCATCAAGAGTACAGTAGGTCTTTGCTGAACTGGGCCCAGAGTTTAGAGACCTTGGGAGGAAGCGGATTCATAAAATTGTCCAGGCGCGCTTTGGACTAAGCACAATCGACTCTGACTAGCATGGAAACGGATAGTACCCTCCCTGCAACACCCAGTTTGTAGAGGAAAACAGTCTTCCAGTCAGGCCACCACGTCCACTCAACCATGATGTTGTTGGAGGGAGGGCACCTGTGGCTGTTCTGGCAGGGTTCCTTGGAACCTGCAATCGTCCACCACCATGTTGGTGAGTCAGAGTGTCAGCCTGGCTTTTTGAGCAGTTGTTGAATTGGGCCACTTGGCCCGCTGTTTTTGAAGCTTTTTTTTGGTGCAACAGCTTTGGGAGGTTCCCTCCATCAGATAAAATTTACGAGCCTAAGGTCGCAACACCTTCTAAGTCAGAATGTTGGATGATTTGGGAGAAGACGGTGTCCAAAACTGCCGATTGCAAGGACACCCCGAAGACACCCCAAAACCTCGTCGATTTGGAAGTTGTTGGACTGTATTTTGCGCAGGGTATGGCTATGCCGTATGCATACGCAGGAAGTGTGCATGATTCTTACAACTGTAGCCACCACTATAGACCAAAGCCAAAAGGTGTCAGACACATACCGATGGACATCAATGGACGAATCGAAGACTCACGTTCTCCACTCACCACTTCTTCACGCTCACGACTGACCGGACAGACTCGCGCCACGCACGCGGGGGCGAACCGCGGTCCTCACGCGAAGCGGCGGGTCACGCGGAGGAAGTGCGCCAACCTGCGGAAAGATGTGCTGATCCTCCTGCAGTGTCCTGACGCGTCCGGTCGATGTCGACACGGTCGTTTTCGGTCGTTTTGTTCCTGTGGTTTGGACCTGACGGGTTGGTTTCCGGTTCCAATAAAGGAAAAGGGTTTGGAGAGGGCTTCATGGTTTGATGTTGTTTTCTTTTTGCACCGGATAGCTGAAAGCAATAAAAGAACAAACAGGACCAGGAGTAGTTGTTACTGATTTCTTAGCTTCTCAATGACTTGATCGGCGTTTGGGTCCACCAATCTCCACGGCACTTTTGCTATAATATTTGAGATCTAGGCCGCGGAGTTAGTTGAAACCACCAGGAGAGTGTAACCCAGTCACGACCCATTCGGCTGTATACAGGTTGAAAAAGGGTCAATCAATCAATGTATGCGTGTACATATTCCATACATGGAGTGTTTCGGGGATAGTGTAATGTGTAATGTGCTGGAAGAAAAGGTGACAGGTGGTTGTATTTTGCTTCTGATGGTTTGCTTCTGACAGGTGACGGGGGATGGTAACTTATAGCAGATTGGCCCCGTCGAGCAAGAAATGGAGATTGGTCTTGCACAGGGGCTTGGGTGTAGACATGTGACATGTGTATAGACCGGAGGCGGATGATTTATGGAGATTCCTACTTGTAAATGTGAATTGACCAGCATACAGCCAGCATACAGCCAGCATACAGCCGCATGCTCGGCATAATAGCATACAGCTGCATAGAGCCAGCATACAGCCAGGTGTTCGGAGTCTGGTGGTTTCTCCATGGACAGAGGTCCGAGTCTGTGGACACGGTGACTGGACTCCTATAGGACCGACGATCTGAGTCAAGGCCCTGACCTGCTGGTGACCAGGGTCATCCGAGTGTTGAAGAAGGACAAGTCGCAACGATTCTCAAAGTCATTCAGCATGGAAGTGGATGAACTCCACCACCCACTACCACCATTCACCTGCCATCTGAGTCTTCGGAAGACTCGCCATGCCACGTCACATCACCCAACCGTACAGGCCAGGAACCGAAATGAAGGTGGGTCATGCCAAAGGCATGATAGATACAAGGCCTGGTTTAGACACGTCTCCTTGAACCCGTGCATGCATGGTATATTAGGGTTTATCCATTCCCTATAGGGATCCAAGTACCTCCTCAAAGGGTACTTGGACCCTCCTGGCACCCGGGCCCCCAGTCCCACCGAACCTCAGAGGGTACGACTGCATCCTTAGGGATTACCCAGACACTCCATGCATGGAATATATATATATATGCCGATCAGGCCAGGGGTGGTTGCCAGGGGGTCAATGGGGCGGCAGTCCTATGGCGCTCCCAGACGGGTCGTGTCTGGATGATGGTTTCTCCATGTCTTTGGTTCCGAAAAACCACCCATCCAACGGCTCCCACTGGCACCTGCACCACGCCTCTCCGCCTGTTTCTCAGCTCCGAGGTTC